AAATTACTAAATCATCGGCGAACATCATGTGTGAGACTATTGGGCATTTGTGAGCAATCTTGATTTCAAATATGGAGATAAAGGATCGCCTTGACGTAACCCCCATTAAGGAAAGAACTTGTTAGAATTCTCTCCATTGACCAAAATTGAAAAAGAAGGGGTAGAAATGCACAAATGAATAAGCTTGACAAACTCCTCATTAAAGCCCAAATTTTGCAAAATTGTGGTAAGAAACACCCATTCAATCCTGTCATATGCCTTAGACATGTCAACCTTGAAAGCAAAAACACTATTTTTTCCTTTTTTTTTCTTGATAAAATGAATAATTTCATGGGCAACTAAAACATTGTCAGCAATTTGCTTGTCTGGGACGAATGCAACTTGCCAAGGTGAGATTATTTTATGCAATATTGATTGCAGCCTATTTGCAAGTAATTTAGCAAAAATTTTATAAATTACATTGCAAAGGCTGATGAGCCAAAAATCATTAACTGAAACTAGGTGGGAAACCTTAGGAATGGGAACTAGATTTGTTTGGGTGAAATCTGGGTCAAGTGTATTGCCATTAAAGAAACCATGAATCCATAGTGTAATATCATCACCAACCAAATCCCAAAATTTTTTAAAGAACAAAGAAAACATACCATCTGGGCCAGGGGCCTTAAAAGGGCCCATTTGCATGATAGCTGACTCAATTTCATCCTTGCTTGGAAGTCTACATAGGTCTTCGTTATCTTGAGTTGTGACAATAGGTTGCAGTAATGCAAGAATCTCAGGAGCGACAGTTGGGGACGAAGTCTGGAACAAGTTACTAAAATGCTCAACAAACATATTCCTAATCTCATTCTTATCATAAGTCCACAAGCCATCTACCCTCTTAAGGCCATCAATGGAGGAACGTCTTCTATGTTGAACTGTAGTCAAATGGAAGCAATGAGTATTTTGATCACCTAAGCGGAGCCAAGACTCACGAGAACGTTACATCTAAAATAGCTCCTCCTTATGTTGAAGCTCTTGAAGTTGTAAGTATAGTGATTGCAACATACTTGCTATATGAGAGGAGTTGTCCAACTGTTGAAGCTCTTGAAGATATTGCCAAATTCAGTTCTGTTCCATCTACTTAGAGATTTCCTGACACCACTTAAACCCCTCCCTTCATCTCCTCCAATAGAGTGCTCGACCCATGCATGCTTTACCACCTCTCTACAATTTGAATCCTTCAACCACATAGCTTCAACTTTAAAGAATTTTTTCCCGGGCTTCACATCACCTTCAGTATCAACTAAAATTGGGCAGTGGTCAGATTGAATGGCTAGAAGATGAAAGACCATGGCCCAGGGAAATAACTCCCTCCATTCAACATTAACCAATGCCTAATCAAGCCGTTTAGCAACATTGGCAAGCCCCTGTCGACCATTAGTCCAAGTAAACTTTCTCCCACAAAAGCCCAGATCAATTAAATTGCACTTCTCTTGAACCTCAGCAAGCCACCAATACTTTTTTTCCCTCCGCTCTTCTCATCACCGCAGGCAATAGCATTGAAGTCACCTAAACAGATCCATGGACCCAAATATTTTCCAGCAATGCCTTCAAGCATTTCCCATAAGACCCTACCACTAGACCTTCTTAGGTCTCCATAAACACCCGAAAACAACCATTCCACCCCTGGAGGAGCACCATTAACCAAACCAGCAATCATAAAATCATCTTGAAAAAGGATCTCAACATCAATGTGTGATTGCCATGCAAGCCAAAGACCCCCACTCCGCTCCTTGGACGGAACAAAACAATAAATTCTGGCTTCATCATACGATTGAGTGCTTGGAATTCTTGAATTGTAGAGGTAAACCCCAAACTTCTATAGTTCTATGCTAAGATCCTCATGGGTCCACTCGGGGTTGTAAAGGGACAACCACCGAAGCCCGTGAATTTGAATTCTCAGTACATCCACTCCTTACCACCTCATCACTTCTAAGGTTTAGAACTTTTTCGCAAGTCTCCTTCCCACCATTCTCCCCCACCCACAAATGATGTATTAATTCATTCCCCACGTCAAAGAAAGATGCAACTTTCTTCTTTTTTGAGGGTCCTACAGCCCCTAACTTTGAACCGTAGAGATAGGTTTTCGGAATCCCCTCAGGATCCTTAAACTTCCCCAAAAGTTCTTCTTCAATATTGTCTGCCATCAATGTTCCCGTAACTGCTTGTTCGTGTCCCAATTACACACCACGATCTCCTCTACTTTCAATGCCACCACCAAACGACTCTCCACCAGGAACCCCAAAAGTCACTACACTTTCGCCACCCTTCGTCGTTGCCTCCGGTGGAACAACGGGCGTAACCTGTTGAACAGGCGGAGAGACACCCTTGTCATGTTTCTTAAATCTAGAGGTCTGGCCAAAAAAGGTTGGTGGATCAGCACGTAACGATGCATCATAACAAAGATTTTGAGCTTCATCCTTTTCCATCTTTTCCTTCTCTACCCGCTCCATACAATGCTTCTCATCATGGCCGATATGCCCGCAATAGTAACAGAATAATGATAATCTCTCATATTTGATATCAACCCAGAGAGGACTCTTCATTTTACGATACACCGGTACACTTTTCTTCAGTGGTTGATTCAAATCAATCTCCACTCTCGCAGGGACATGGCTAGTCCAACATTTCTGCAGATCCAATGAGTTATTTGCTACTACTTTGCCCACCTGTGCTGCAATTTTTTCTCCAACACTCCTGATGTGCCAATCCAATGGGAAACCATGTATTTGGACGGTGAATTCAGTTTTGGAAAAATCCAATTCTTCTAACAATCCTCCTACAATCTATCGCTTCAAGACCAGAATTTGACCAACAACTGCCCATGGGCCACGGTCCAACACTAATCGTATGTCCATTTCATGGGTGAAGAAAAACATAAAATGGCCTTTAGGTGAACCCTCCACCACCACTGATCACTTCAAGTTCCATGACTTCGGAAAAACACCCATGACTGTTACATGATTCACCACTTTATCTCCATGAACTTTCCCCACCAAGCACCAATTCCACTTATCACCATCCTCCCTATTACTGATTTCATGATCAATGTCCACTCCATCTTCCGAACACCCAACCTTATTAAGTGCATTAACAAGTACCTCCTCTTCCATAACACCAACTCTAAGACAGACAGACAAGTTTCAAACCATGACAAGCAAAAAGGGGAAGAAAGCTCTACAAAACCAAGAGCAAGAGAAAGCCTTATACATCAAAGGCAAGATAAAGCCCTACACCAAGAGCAAAAGAGCCTTAACAAACGTTTTTAACACCCGTGCATGCATTTATTTCAAAATTACATTAAATTTTAAATAAAATAAAAAATAGGGATAAGAGAAGGGTTTCTACGCCTACCAAAAAAGAGAGGGGCTCTAACTTTCTCCGGCACTACTTCTCCACCGAATAGAACGCCTGAGCACTGATGGATTATGGATGGAGAATTGCATGCCTGAGCATCGGCCGACCATGGACGGAGAACTGCACATTTGAGACAATCAATACAGGAACTCACTTTGACCTTTTCCTGTATTTCATTAACTAGATTAACAACAAAAATCTCAAAATAGAGGGGATCTATGACTAGTCATAGATTTCTATATTTGATGTACAAAATATACAGATTCAAACAATTAATACAGATTTCTACAGCACCCAAACAATGCATTTAGTTCAACTCTACCGTTGTTGTAGTTTGGTTTGACAAGACAACACATGCCTGGCATCCGCATCCAGAATCCAGCCCTAACTCTCATATGCCTTACCTTCTATATGATAAATTCAAGACAAAAGGCAGCTTTATATTCTAAGATTCTCATTGCTTATTTGCTTAATAAAATCAAGAGAAAAGGCCAAACAGAATAATTTTATTGTTTGTCTCAAATGTGTTTCACGGGTGGTCTATTGGTGCTTAGGTTTCCTCAGTTAAGTGGTAGAAAGCTTTGAGGGAAACAAGGAAGAAGAAAACCTATTTTAAAAAATCTAAGGAATTTCTCTATTTTTATTTCATCTAAATTAAATTATAATTTTTCATAAATTAAATATAAGATTTACTCGCAACATGAGAAATTAACATACTATGCTGTGCTGAATGTTGACATGGCGCCCTACAATTGGGAGTGTAGGAAGTTATGCAGGATCCCAAGTGCAAAAAATCCGGATTCACGAGATATCTAACTATTTATAATCCGGAGATTACATCTCCACCCCAATAGGAGTCGCCCCACAGCACATCTCCGCCGTGTATTGAATATATCTCTCGATGATAGTATCAGTCTCGATAATAACATCATCGAGATGTGTACTCTACTTGTAACGCGTTGTCAATGATGTAACGCGTTGTGAGGCGGCTCCTTGTGGGGCGGAGATGTGTACTCCACGTTGTCCTTCCCAGGAAACTTGTAACGCGTTTTCAACGATCACGACGTGTGCCATTCACAAAGCCCATTCTCATACTTGTGCGTTCGTGGGTGAACTCTTCTCGATTGGAAGATCATCCCACTTGGCCACTTGTGTAATTTGTACTTGCTTCACCTTTCAATGCATCAAATAACGATGACAAAAATATTTACTGTTAAAACCGGATCGGATTGGCATCCATCGTCCAACATGGAAAAGAAACTGTCCAGTTCACCAGCTGAACTGGTTGGTTCATCATATATACTTACGGCTCATTAGCTTTCTTTTTTGGGTAAATTAGAAAGAGCCGTGTACTATGGGGTCTGGGATAAAGACCTCCCTATACTTTGTTTTACGATAAAGACCCCCCTTGTATTACGACCGTGAGACAAAGACCCCTTTTGTTAGTCTTTCTTGAAATCCACCGTTATAATAATTTTTAATTTCCATATTACCCTTGTAATTATTCATCTTTCCTGACCTCACGAAACACAAATAGCAGTAGTGGTAACTGTTGCAGTGGCGGCGGACTTCCGAAGTCCTCCCAGCTAAGCGAGATTTATAATATGAAGAAAGTTTTGATTGAAGTTGCAACAGGACTTCCGACAGTGTTTGGTAGAGAAGGAAAAGAAAGAATGTTCAGTCCTCCCTCTATTTCAGAGAAAGCTTTGATTGAAGTTGCAGAACTTCATTCTAGCGGTAACTTTAGAACTTCATTGGTTGCAATGGTAGACTTCCGGCGGCGGACTGCAGTGGCCAATAAAACAGAGGAACCTAGCGGCAGCAAGATTTATAACCTGAAGAAAACTTTGATTGATTCCCTCTATGGCACGGATCGAGGGCTGAGGGCCTCTAGCGAGACTAGAGCAAAGATCGTGGAGCTCATCACCCAATTGGAGGCCAAGAACCAGTTGTGGCTCCCACCGAGGCTTTGACTCTTCTCAACGGCAAATGGATACTTGCATTAGTATTTTACTTAATACTAGTTCTTGATCTTTCTACTACGTTCCGATAAGGATATTTTCGTATCAATAATGGTTGGTGGGTGCACTACAGGTACACCTCTTTCATGGGCTTATTCCCGCTGTTCCCAAGAGGGACGCTGCCACTAGTAAAGGTGGAGGAGATATCTCAGAGCATAGACTCATCAAACTTCATGGTGGAGAATGTGGTCCAGTTCACTGGGCCTTTGGCCACCACAACCTTGAGCACCAATGCCAAGTTTGAAATCCAAAGGTCCAAGTGCGTCTAGGTAAGTTATCAAGTATTAGCAAGTAACTACCAAAATCAAATTACTCATTGTGAATGTGAATCATTCGGTTTCCCCTGATTCTTGAATCAGCGGTGGAATTAGGTTGGGTTCTCATCCTTCACCTTGTAGTTTGTAGCCGAGGTTGCTGTGAAGCGCATTGCCCACAAGACTGATGAAGGCATGAGAAAGTTCTTGGCTGAAGTACAGGAACTTAGTTGGAGCAACATTTTCAGCAGGAGCTGATCGATGTTTTGGCTAATAAAAGCAAGAGTTGTCGATGCAGAAGGTGTGCAGCTATTTTCAGCGGAAGCAGTAGAAGAGAAGAAACCGCTTTGTCGCAGGTGAGAGAGATCTAAATGAATTTCTGAACCAATGAGCAAGTGGAGTAGAGAAGTTAAAGAAAGAGAGACAGTGTTTGGTAGATGAACAGTGTTTTTTGCTACTGCTGTTCGTATATCTGAAATCGGGGAAGATGAACAATGCTTTTCTCCCAATTGTTGGAATATTTATTACAAGGGTAGTATGATGATTAAAACGATGAATTTCAACGGAAAGCTAACAGAAGGAGGTCTTTGTCTCACGGTCATAGTATGGGGGGTTTTGTCGCAAAACAAAGTACAGGGGGGTCTTCGTTACAAACCCATAGTATGAGGGGTCTTTGTAATTTACCCTTTTTTTTATTTATTTTTTTGTTAAGTAGGTATATGGCATTGTTTTGTCAGATATCGCCTTAAAAATTATGAAAGGTGTGGTTTAAAAAAATACTCTTTTTGATGTTTTTCTATTTTTTCTATTGTTGCTAATAATAATATGCTGATATGACATGAGAAAATGTTTTACGAGAAAACAACATAATTATGTAAAATTATTTTCTGAAAAATGCCTCTCAAAAAATGGCATTGATTCCATACATCAAACACTGCCCAGTGACACTCTCCACAATCCACATCATCTCACAACATTAAATGGAGATAAGTCGCACCCTATCCTTATCTTATTGAGAGAAAAATTTGTTGTCACAACATAAAATTTGAATTCAAAAAAGTCGTATATAAATACAACTGTATATATACATAGTTACATATATACTTTGTATATACACTCAAAGAGATTCAATACAACTAATTGAGTTCTTCCTCTTCTCAATTCTATTATGGTATCTGAGAACCAAGACTTGCATCCTGTTGCTAAAACCATGTTAATCGCTACAACTGGAAACTCGGTCAACCAGCAAAAGCTCTTTGTCCCTCAATCCTCCAAGCTAGCTATCAGTGTGTGTAATTCATCTCCGTCAAGTTAGGTTCTTCATTTTCAAAATCGGATCTATTTGAACGGTCAGACCGGAAAAATCGGAACCAGTTCCGTTTTATTCTAGAATCGTTATTTCTCCCAAAACTGTTGATTTGGTCAGAAAACTGCGGACCCAGGTGGTCGAATCATTTGAACCATTCAACAGTTTGGCCGGTTTTTACTTTTATTTTTATTTTATTTTTTTGTTAAAACGGGCCATCTGTTCGATTTGAATGATCGGACTGTTCGACTCAGAAACTGAACTCCTGACCTGTTCATTGTCTGAATTGGTTTTAAAAACCTTGATTCAAATTGTCTAGTGCTTTCAATTAGAAAAATACCTTATGGAGCCATGAGTTCATTAGTATTGTGGACATATCAAAGCCATGTCCACCTCTCCATTTGGTTTGAGTTCGTTTACATTGGAATACTCCTCATGGAATAAACAAGATAAACTCTTATTTAACTGGACCCTTGCAATACTATTAGGATTCTTATTTAACTGGACCCTTGCAATACTATTAGGATTCTCTTGCCCAAATGGTCAGGTGCAAGACAAGCAAGGAAATATGGGATACTCTTGAGACTTTACTCTCCCAAAGGTACATCCAATGCAATTATTCTATGCAATGAACTTAGTTTTCTTTGCAACAATGATATTTATCTATGGCTTCCTATCTTTAAAAGATCAAGGTATTTAATTTTTTGATAAATTTGCTATTAGGGATGAGTGTGGGTCGGTTTAGTTAGGTTTCATGGTAGAACCTGGAATCTACCTTGTGAGAGTCAGTTTCAAGTTTTTGGAATCGAAACCTACCCTATGAAGGTTAGTTCCAAGGTCAATTCTAACCTTAGTGAATTTGGAGTTGGTTCTAGGGTTTACCCATAGAACCTATTCTTTTTTTACTACCCCCTTCAAGAAAAAAGAAGCATGCTCTTTTCAATAAAATTATATTTTTATACTATCTATAAGAGTCATGGTTTTCAAAACTGGACCGGACCGGACGGTCGGACCGGAAAAACAGATAACCGGTCAGCCATCCGGGTCCAGTTTTACTAGAAATCGGAAAATTGAAAAAAAACGTTGAAAAGTCAAAAAAACTGCTAACTTGGGTGGTCGAACCGCTCAACCGTTCGACCCAAGCAGTGGTTTGCGAGTTAATATTTTTATTTTTAATGTTTAAATAAAAAAACAAAAAATAAAATGCTAATTATATCCCACGATTTTTGAATCCCAATTCCCAGTCCCTTATACGGTTTAGCCTTTAGGGTTCCCGAGTTCCCTCCTCACTCCTCAGTCCTCTCAAGTCTCAACCCTCACAGCCTACCACCTGCGGCGGCCATCAACTCCGGCATCTAACGACAACAAACACCGACGGCGACTGGCGAACTTGCAGCAACGAAGAGAGTCACACCAAGCACTTGCAGCGGTGACTCGCAGTAGTGGATGGCGAGCGACTTGCAGCAGCGGCGGATGGCGAGCGACTTGCAGCAACGACGACTTGCAGTGACGGACTACCCAAGCCCACCGACGACGAATCCCTGAAGGTATAATTTTTTTCTGATTTTTTTTTGTGATTTAATTAATTTTTTTCAATTCAGTGGATGGCGGTCTTTCACCGAGGCTGAGAAAAGAAGGGTGGCCACACCCAAGAGGCCTGTGGAGGCCCCCAACCTCCGAGGAGGAAGAGATTGGCAGTGAAAGATCGCCCAGCTGAGGGTGCTGACGGGGGCTTGCAGTAATCAGGGCCCCAATCTTCTAAGTACCGTGATGACATGCCATTGGCGGCTAGAAGAATCTTTCGCACTAATTAGAGCATCCGGGAGGACAACACCCTTAGCACCCTAAGGGTCGGCCAAGCCCTAGTGAATGGGATGCTCCCACCAGGGTGAAGGGATGAGAGATTCATCATATGGATAGCCGAACCTTGTAGGTAGGTTGATTCGAGTTTATAATTCTATGTTTTCATTTACATCAATGGGTGGGAAAATAGATTACCAATTGATACAAGGGAGAGGTCCATATGCTTTTAGGATACCTGGCACAAATTACCATAGAATTGGCTCATTGGTGCCTATCGAAGGAGAACACCCAAAGTTTGCGCAGTTATATATATATGATACTAAAAATGAAGTTGCCAATAGGATCTCAGCCATCCATGATGATCAAATTGGTGCTGAACTGGACCCAAATATTATTCATGATCTCCAAATGATGTTGAACCAAATAAACCCATATGCCAAGGTTTTCCGATATGCAAGGGACCTACTTCCCCCTAATCGAAGAATTGAGTTACGTATGCAAATATTAGAACAACGAGGGCCTAACCAAAGGCAGTATAATAAACCTTCATGCAGTGAAGTAGCAGCATTGATGGTTGGAGATGGCTCTCAAAGCACTAATAGGCGTGATGTTATTGTTTCCACATTGGATAACCGATTGAAAAGGATTGATGAGACACACCCATGCTATATGCCATTACAATACCCACTTTTATTTCCACATGGTGAAGATGGATGGAAGCTTGACATTCCATATCAATGTGTTCCCCGTGCTAGAAGCCAACGCCAACGTATGGTGACACTAAGAGATTTCACTGCTTATCGAATTCAGAATCGTTTAAATGAAGGCAAAACCTTACTGCAAGGTGGGCGAGCATTTCAACAGTATTTGGTTGACTATTATGCTGCTATAGAAGATGATTGTCTAAGGTACTACAAGTCCAACCAAAAGCAACTAAGGAGTGAAGTATATCGAGGAATACAAGATGCCATTAATGTTGGGGATACTAATGCAAGCTTAATTGGTCGTCGGTATATATTTACCTCCTCTTTCACTGGTGGCCATTTGTCGAACATTAGGCCATCCAGATTTATTCATAACATTTACAGCAAACCCGCAATGGCTTGAGGTAATTGCAGCATTATTTGAAATCCCTTTCTTGAAACCTAGAGAGTGACCAGATATTGTGTCACGTGTTTTCAAGATAAAGTTGAAGGAATTATTACATGATATTAAAGTTAGGAAAATATTTGGCCCCATCATTGCAGGTTTGTAGAAATGTCTCATTACTCCTTTTTGGTGATTGGATACATCCTCTATACTATGATCTAACACCTAACATTCAATCTATGGTTTCCAAATTTACATGTCATTGAATTCCAAAAAAGAGGAACACCCTACGCACATATATTGGTAACTTTGGCTGATGGCCATAACCAGTTACAAGTGATGATATCGATCGGATTGTTTCAGTAGAACTTCCTGACAAAAATGATGACCCCCTTCTATATGAAACATTTGTAATATTCATGACCCATGATCCTTGTGGTAATCAAAATCCCTCTAACCCATGTATGGTTGCATCTAAGTGCAAAAGCCACTACCCCAGACAATTTTGTGTAGTGACATCTGTAAATAGTGATGGTTACCCTATTTATCATTGGAGAAACAACGGATGTGTGGCTCAGGTTGGAATTCATCAAGTTGATAACCGATGGGTTGTTCCCTACAATAAAGATCTTTCAAGAAAATATAATGCTCACATAAATGTTGAGATTGTTGCATAAATGTATCACCCAAGAGAAACAAATAGTTATGAAAAAATTGATGAAATCCAATAATATGTGGATTGTCGATATGTATCTGCCTTTGAGGCCTCTTGGAGAATCTTTGAATTCCCTATTCAACAGAAAACCCACCAGTTGAA